GCGTGACATTTGAAGCTTTTCACAATCTGGCTTCAGTCTCTTTGTAGGCTTATTATCCAATACTCCCCACCATACTCTACAGAGCCACTTGCTAGTTACTAGACAGGAACCATATTTACTATATATGAATCTGCATGCCTTCACACAGCTGAAGGAATTTCTGGGCCTGGAATGCTCTTCCTCCTCTTCCTGCTCTTACTGCCTCTTGGAACCCCTACCTCCCTTAACATCTCAACTCAAGCCTTTCCTGATTCCCCCAGTCAGTACAACTCCCCAGATCACTATATAGTTATTCTGCATATATCCTAAATACAACAAATTCTAGTGGCTCTCTACTCTACTATTTCTAAGCGTTCTGGAACCTGGCTCCAACCTACCTCCTCAGCCTTATCATGCATCACTCCCTTTCACGCGGTCCAGTCTAGACAAAACAATCTTCCCGCTGTTCCTCACATGCCAGTCTTCACGCATTTACACAGGCCATCTCCCATACCTAGAATGTACTTCTTCCTCACCTATTCTTCTTACAATCTCTAGCTTCTTACAAAGCACCGTGCAAGTGTCACTTTCTTCATGAGGCCTTTCCTAATCTCCCCAACTGTTAGTTCCTTTCCCACAAATATTCTGCCTGTGACATATTCCCCACCCTGACCTACCCCCAACTACCAGGAGGAGCAACCAAGACTCAAGTCCCCAGGCCTTAACCCCACAGCAACACCATCTCCATGAAGACTGTGTTAATGACAATTTATCTGCTCCTCCAACTACCCCTACATGGCTATCAAACTCCCACCACATATTATTCTACCTATCATTACTTAATTACCAGATACCTAACAGTAAAGTATTCATAAGCCAATCTCTTGTTCTCTCATCATCATCCTTCTCAATTCCAACCCTGCCCATCCTTTCCATTGAGCCCTCAAGAATTCCTATTCTATAGTGAATAAACTTTTCCTCATTCTGGACCTCTTTTTCTCATACTCATACTTTCTCATACTTGCTGTCACTGAGGCCAAGATCTCACCAGATAACAGAACATCGTGGCCATCCTGTCCAGGATGAAAGCATTTATATAGTACTTTAAGGTTTGCAAAACACTTTTTACAATTATCTCATTTGTGTCCTCATTTGAAAAACAACTATTATTATGGTCTACTTAACCACAGTGAATAACAAAACAGAACTCATCTTATGCCCAAAGTCCACCTGTCTTTTCTTATTTCTGTCAAATAGGGAACCACCATTCTTCTAATTTCCCAGGTTCATAACCTCAGCAATTCAATTTCTTACTGTCCTTCACTCCATATGACCAATCAATTAGCTGGGAAATCTTGTAGTTTCTACCTCCATATCTCTCACATCTGATGCTTTCTCTCTCTTCATACAACCATTACTTTGGTTCAGGCCTCCATCACCTCTTGCCTGGACGATGACCTAATTGCCTCAAGTCTCTCTCCACTCCAATCCATTCTCCATACATTTGCCAAAGGGATTTTCCTTAAGAGAAAATCTGAAATTCCATTGGGTCGTTTTTGCCTCTAGGAAAAAAAAATATATATAAATCCTCTATTTGGATTTTAAAGCCTTTATAACCAAGCCTTAATCTACTTTTCTTTTTAATATATTTTTATTCATTTTGTTAACTATTTCCCAATTACATGTAAGAAAAATTTTAACATTTTTAAAATTCTGAGCTCTAAATTTTCTCCCTCCTGCCCTTTTCCACCCCCCCTTGAGAAGGCAAGTAATATATTGATTATGCATGTGAGTCATACAAAACATACTTCCATATTAGCCATCTTGCAAAACACACACACACAACACACACACACACACACACACGAAAAATAAGAAAAACTATGGTTCAATCTGCACTCGAGTTCATCCTAACCTACTTCTCCAACTTCATTATACATTACTAGCCTGCCCACACTCTGTGAGCTACAAACTGGTCACCTCTGTTCCTCAGTTTTTCATCTCTGGTCTCCTTTGGCTTTGCATTGTTCATCTTCCATGCCTAGAATGCTCTCCCTGCTCATCACTGCCTCATCAAATCCCTCCTTCTTAAAGACACAGCCCAAGAACTACCTTTTACATGAAGCCTTTCCTTAACCTAACTACTATTCCCTCCCTCCCCACTTTATTTGCAAGTATCACCTATATATTTATTCTGCAGATACTTACAGTTGTACATTGCCCCTTTCCCAAGTCCCCAGATAGTAAGCTCCTTGGGAACAGGAATTATTTCATTTTTTCTATCTCTGCCTCGTTGCACCTGGCACATAGTTCACACTTAATAAGGGCTTGTTGACTGAAGGATTTATTTCATAGGATCACATATTTAGAACTGGAAGAGTCCTCAAAAGTCATCTAGTCCCACTCCATTTTAGAAGTTTTCCTTGCCCAAGATCAAGTAAGTGATAAATGGGAGAGTTAGGTTTCAAACACAGGTTCTCTAGTTGACTGTGAAATTTCTATATAATGTTGTGAGGGTGAGAGTGGAGATTATCTTTCTTGTCAATTTCAATAGATAGATAGATAAGAAGAAAAATAAATAAATGAATGAGTGAATGATTAAATAAATAAGCAGATGAATGCATGAATAAATAAATAAATGACATACTTCAGAACATCCTTGCGGTCTTCTTTAATTACCCATTATGGTCTAGTCTTCACAAAATTAAACACTTCTTCAACTTCACATTTTCAGTCTGGAATAATTACTTCCCTAAATATTATAACTGCTATGTTAAAGTAATACTTCCATTTTTTTGGTCCTAACTTTAATATCTTGATTCTCAAAGTGTGCTTTCTATGTCTGGTATTCAGCAAAAAGTCCATTTTCCAATACCAATCTTGTACCCTTTCAGCATATCCTTGGTCTTAGCCTTCATCTTTTGGGACCAAAGTGCCTAATCTTACTCTATTTATTCTGTGCCCTCAAACAATTTAGTTGCTTTCTTCTGTGGATTTTCTCCAAATCCATTATTTCACTGGAAATACTCTACATGGATATGGACTACATATGGTTATTTTTCCCACTTATCAACCACCCTACTGATGTAAACCCCTCCCCTCCCCCCAGTCCCAAATCTAAAGAGTCATCACAAAAGCACACAGTCTGACCTTAGACAGGTTAGTTCTGTTATGTAACAGCACTGTGCCGAATGAAGTCAGAGCTATAAGGTTCCATCTTCATACTGGTCAACAGTAGCACCATCACTCTGCTCCATGGTCACAAACTATACCTGGCTAAGTATTTGGAAAATGGGTAAATGGTCATAAAGTATACATACACAGACACACATACAGACACACATACACAAACTGTGTTTTTATGGATCCTCAAAAGAAGAAAACAGTTTAGCACAAGGTCAGTGGCTATACTCATGTATGCATTTAGATACACACATACACATGTATACACGTGTGCATTTATATATGCATATATACATAAATACACAAACAGGGCAGCTAAGTGGCACAGTGGAATCCGAAGACTCATCTTCATGAGTTCAAATTTGATCTCAGACATTTACTAGCTATGTGACCCTGGACAACTGACTTAATCCTGTTTGCCTCAGTTTCTTCATCTGTGAAATAAGCTGGAGAAGGAAATGGCAAACCACACTCTAGTATCTTTGCCAAGAAAATTCCAAAAGAGTTCACAAAGAGTCAAATGTGATTGAAACAACTGAACAATAATACACACACACATAACTGTTTTTTTCTCTATATATAGAGATATGGCTATCTATATCAACAGGTCAGAGGCTATGAACACACTGTATGCAATACAAAATTGACATTACAAAAACATTTTCACTACAAAGGCAGCACAGTTTTCTTGTTTTTGTTTTTACTGAATGCTAAAGCTACAAGGTACTTAAAAATGTCAAAGAATTTGAGAACTAGAAGAGACCTTAAATCACCCAACCCTTTCACTTTATAGGAGAAACTGAGACCCAGAAATGCGGCTTGTCCAAGATCATTCAGGTTTTCGGTAGCATAACCATGACTAAACCCAGGCTTTCTGCCTACTAGTATAGATCTCTTTGCATTATACCACACCACGTATTTGAAACTATTTTTGAAAATAGTTAAATAGTTAATAGTTAATAGAAAATAGTTAAATCCCCACTCAAGGAAGGTAGGTATGTTAGGGAGCAATTGTAGCTCCTGCCCCTCTACAGTATAGCCACTGCTTACTACTCAGGATCAATGCTGATGGTGAAATTTAAACATACTGATACTAAAATCTAATTTCATTCTAATAACTTTTAGACAGGTCATTTCTCTTTTCTTTATAGCATACTTAAATGCAGCTTATTTAAATGTTTTTTTTTCATTTTTCTTCTCTCTTTTCTGTAGGGAAAAAATATAGAATTATCTGTACCTATATATTTATCAGTAAATATATGGAAAATTCAGCAAAACAGTGAAGTCCTGTTTCCTGGACACTACTGAGGTTAAAGGGATTCAATATTTCAATTGCCTTCATAACTATCGCACTAAAAATTCTAATTTAGAATATCTACACTAAATTATACACCTGTAAGGAAGTCACAATCTTTGGAACAAATACAGAAATGTTCATGATTAAATTTCTCCCAGGACTCTCTTCTTGGTTCTATTACTTGATTGAAGGGCTCTGTGTATGCAATTGGTCAGAGCCAGACGCTTGGCAATAGAGACAGGGGTAAGCTCATGTCTGTGGAAAGAAAGTAGAAGGTATTAGTCTGAAAGGCTAGGGCGTTTAAAGGCAGTTAACATTTATTGACCCTGGGGCTTTTACAGCTTTCACCAAATAAATGGATTACTCACAGCAGCCCCACGAACGTATCATATATGCTTAACGTGTGTCTTATCTTATCTATCATTTATGAAGAGGCTGTTTTAATTACTCCACAGGACTGATAATATGAGCTATTAAGACTTGCTAATAAGAAAAAACCAACCTGCTTCCAAGGGTGAATGTCAATCACTGGAGTTGCAGGTATAGCATGCTATCGCAGCTCTGATTCAAATGTCTTCCAGGGTCAAATACAAGGAATAAGGAGGGGAGACTTGAATGGGTGGTGTTAGATAAATCTGACGAAAGAGTATTTCCTGTGCAAAAGAGCTGAAGAACACACATCTGGAGGAGGGGCTAGCTGACAAGGGAGAGTTCCTAACAGAAAAGACCGTGCTAGCAGCAGACTCAGCCGACTCCAACTTCAGCACCATGAACACTTCATTAGCAAGACTCCACTTTGCAGGTGGCTATCAGCCCTCTGACTCCAAGGACTGGAGATCCATCATTCCTGCTTTCTTGGTGGCAATCTGTTTAGTAGGCTTTGCAGGGAACCTGTGTGTGATTGGCATCCTCCTACATGGTGCTTGGAAAGGAAAATCATCCATGATCAACTCCCTGATTTTAAATCTCAGCCTAGCTGATCTCTTTCTTCTGCTATTCTCTGCACCCCTGCGGGCAGCAGCATATTCCAAAGGTGTTTGGGATATGGGATGGTTTGTCTGCAAATCTTCTGACTGGTTCACACACACGTGCATGGCAGCCAAGAGTCTGACAATTGTTGTGGTAGCAAAGGCATGCTATATGTATGTAAGCAACCCAGCCAAGCAAGTAAATATCAACAACTGCACGATCTGGACAGTGCTGCTTGTCATCTGGGCCACGGCCTGCCTCTTACCCTTGCCCGAATGGTTCTTTAGTACCCTTAGGTACCACGAAGGTGTGGAGATGTGCATTATGGAAGTACCAGCCCTGGCCCAGGAATTCACTTCTACATTCGGTAAGCTCTACCCTCTCCTTGTATTTTTCCTCCCTTTGCTCTTCGCTGGGATGTATTTTTGGAAGTCTTATTGCCGGTACCAACGCAGAGGAACCAAGACTCAAAACCTAAGAAACCAGATCCGATCTAGGCGACTCACAATGATGTTGTTAAGTGTTGCTATAACCTCTGCCATCATGTGGCTACCAGAATGGATAGCTTGGCTGTGGGTATGGCATCTAAAGACAGGAAGCCCCATTCCACCTCAAGGTTTCGTAGCCTTATCTCAGGTCCTTATGTTTTCCATCTCGTCTGCAAACCCCTTTATTTTTTTAGTGATGTCTGAGGAATTCAAAGGTTTCAAAGATTTCTGGAAATGGCTGACATCAAAAAAGCCTCTACCTGACCCAGACACTCAAGAAACACCAGCCGGTAACTCACAGGTCATTTCAGATAATGTCCCATCTCAAGAGCCCCTGCCATCTGTATCAGACAAAGAGAAGGCTGGATCTTCCCTGTCTGGTGAGGAGAAAACAGACAAGGAGATTCCTGTCCTACCCGATGTGGAACAGTTTTGGCATGAAAGGGACACAGTCCCTTCTGAGCAAGACAATGATCCTACCCCCTGGGAACATGATGATTCTGGGATAGCAGGTTGTAGTAAATGAGATTACAAGTTCCAAAGCCAAATAAACTGTGTATTTATTGTATTTGTTATACTGTTGCTTACCAATATTGCTCAAGATTTTACTAGGTAAAAATATGGTAATGCTATCTTTGCTCTTGGTTGTGCTCAAGAAACATCTTACTGTCAAAGCTTTCAAAATCATATTTCTAATAAGTAGGAATACCCTTACATTAGGATAAATACTTATGATGCTTAGATTACTTGAAATAAAATTTTCAAGTATAACCTGCAACCTTGTGTATCTTAAGCTGTTTTTCCCCTTAGAGGTTAGAGTTTACACTATGCCATTTACCTGTTCTCTCCCTTGTTAATACATGGAACTGACAGGAGAGCTGGTTGGAGAACAGAACAAAATCTGTGGCTACATAAAAGTGGCTCTCCACACAAAACTGTGGTCCTGTTGTCATGGACCTGAACCCATTACTCTGTCCTCCTTAGCACTAAGGAGGCCAATCCACTAAATAATTTTGAAATATTTATGGTTTCAAATTAATTTATACTTTATACAATCAGAATGCAAAATACAACCTTAACAGATTCAGAATTCAGTTGTTTTCAAAGCATAAACAAACAAGTTTTATTTGATTCTGGCAAATTCAACTAACCAGCTGCCTACAAGAAAGTTAGATACTAGGAAATTACTTGACATTTTTCCTAGTGTTCATGCTGATTTGAATCACTCATGTAATTTGGCATTTTGTTGTTCTTTCTTTTTAGGAAAATACAGGACTATTGCATGGCTCTCCTTATAGGTATCACTCCTACCCACTTCACCAAACTTAATACTTGAAAACCCTCTAGATTTAAAGCTTAAGATTTAAGTCACTCAGCTGAGATATGTAAAGTGCTTTGCATCTTTAAAGTGCTATAAAAATGCTATTATTATTATTACTGCTAGAAAAACAGGATATAGTTCGTATTCTACCAGTTAAAGACTTTGAAAGTATCTCCTAACATTCTCTACTCTTATCTCAGGACCTCTCCTAGAATTGAAGGTATGGTTACTGTTACAGTAGTTACCGGGGTGGAAAAGTTTATTTTTCCCAGTCTGAAGACTGTCTTCTCAAAATGCATGATTATAAAACTAGGGCTCAAACTTAACCCATGATATTGAATCTGCTCACTTTAACATCTAAAACAACAGTTTCTCCAAATGACAGCAGTGGTGGGTGTGTAACAGAGAAGAGAAGAAATACAGATAGGCAGAGAACTTGGTTTAATAAAGGGACAGAAACTGAAAAATACAATGACAGTGAAGGAAAAAAAGGCAAGAAAACAGAAAATATTGGAAAAGAAACCCCAATACTTATCAGACTTTTCTGTCCCCATAAAGATATATAGGAAAATACCAGTATTAGGCACCTTACCAGTCCAGAACTTTATAACTGATTAAATATTATGTCCCACGTGCATGGTAATTATACATGTATCACTTTTCCTACAACGCATAAAGCATCTATTGGGACCAGTTACCTTTATTCCCAGAATTCTAATGGGGTCTCTAAGTATATTTCCATTGTAGGGCTCCCTCAGAAATGCCTTAGGGCAAAAAAGAGAGGACAGAGGGAGAACAGAGAAATTAAAGCATGTAGGAGGACACTGTGGAGAGAAAAGAAGCATTTTTTTAAATAAGTGAAAATTGTGGGGTTTCTTATACTATAGATGCTTAAGTGAAGTAGAGGGGTTTTATATTTACCCCCAACTTATAACCGAGTCATTAAAAAATTCACTATGCTCGTGGGGCCACAGAAATGTAACTCACAGCTGTACTACTTTCCCCAAGAGCCCAAAAACCTGTTTAGTGATGCACGTATCTTACAGATTAGGTAACTTTCAATGCTTTATTACAAATTGTATTAATTTGTGTTTTATGTTCTCAATGTATCTTAAATATGGAATCTAAGATGACATTACTGTTGCTCATTTTTACTTGTGAACAAATAAAAAACATGCCACACTGCATCTATTCAATTTTATCTCAGCAGATATGTGTTTCCAAATCTCTTATTCTCATATTGTCAAATAAAAACTGTTATTTGGCAAAAACGGGTTTATTTATTATTTGGCTTTCAGGCAGGGCTGACCCTGTCTCTAACACGAAAAATTCTCAAGAGGAATTTAAATTATATATTCAGTCTTGTCAAAATACAGAGTTTGCTATCTAAACATCATTTCAAGTTGCACACGTAAGAAGGATAACTGACTACTTGTTGTAAAGCATCATATATACAGTCCTAGCTTTGATATCCCATGCTTCAGTTCTGATACCTTACAAAAAAGGAACCTGGGCTTTGGAGCTTTTGCAATAATATATACGAATTCCCAATCTACACAAATAACCCTTCCAATATTTCAAGACATAATTACTTAAATGTCAGCAATCCCATTTGTATGAAAAATGTCACTGTGAAATAGGAGGAAGGCAATGACTGAGCAAACAGCAATTTGTAGAATTCAAAGTTGTGACAAAAATGTTTAGATAGTCTAGTAACTCAAAAAAAAAATCTTTCTAGGACAGTTAAGTATTGTCTATAATAGCACAGAAATTCCTCCAGTTTTGAAAATGGTCCCTTTAACTCCTCCTCATAATACTCAACGTTACTCAACGGATTTGCAGAAGTGAACTGCAAAATATAGGGGGGAAAAAAACATCCTAGTTAAACACCATCAAATTTATGGAGTTTCCGCTTGGTCTGATACAGTTGATACGTACAATTACACATACATCTGTGTGCATCTAAATATTATACCTAGATATAATTCAATATTCAACAAACACTCATTAAGCACAAGGCATTAGGGAAGGTAACGTGTGCATACATATACATACACACACACATAAACATACATGTACAAATCTAGATCTGGCACATTTTACTTTAAAGGGGGCTTTGGGGAGAGTAGTAACGATGGTGAAATAACAAGGGAAACCAAATCAACACCTTGTTCAATATACCATTTATAGAAATGTAACATCCTGTGATACTCCCCCCTCACCTACCCAAAAGGAAACAATGGAGAAGAGACTGTTTTAGATGGGACAACAGAACCAAAAAGTGATGGGGAGTCAAAAGAGTGATAGTATCACAGAAATATGCATGATACACTGAAAGAACTGCCATGAAATGCATAAAGCATCAATTAAAATAAGAAAGGCAAAAATGTCATTTTTTGCTTACTATGTAAGACTTTCAAGAAAGATGAGCTGAAGGAAGTGAACACAAAAAGAATTCTTTCAAATCCCTTTCCTTTTTGCACTGCAAATAATTTCATAACACAAAGCTCTGAAAAAAATATGCATTCAAGGCTTTAAAAAAAATATGCAATATCAAAAGTTTTAAAGCAGACTTCATTTGTGCAGTTTCCATTTTCTGCTTCTTTTAAGAACAAATTTTAAAACAAATTTTCTTTACAGGTTATTTAACATTAAGCATATACAATCCACATATAAAAAGGGTTGGTTTATTGTAGTTCAAATACATAAACTGAACAATTCAAACATTTCAAAATTAAACTTTAGAAACACAAGTTTAACATTCAAACAGGAGTATAGTTTACAAGAATTACCCAGAAGGGCAATTAACTCTCTAATCCAGAAATTGATAAAGATACTTCTATAGTGAATAAAAATGTGTTTATACAACCGTCCTGTTCTGGTAAGCATTGTTATCTATCGACTGTGTTTCCATATCCAAGAAGAAATTACCAGAAAAATCTTCACTTAAAGCAACCAGATTTTTGTCTATAATTCAGAGGGATAATCAAAGCACATCTGTGAACAAATTCAAACTAAACTGGTCTCTAGAGACTTGGGGAAAAAGCAGGAGCATTACAATATTCTTAGCCTCTGCCAGCTGAGAATTTAATTAACAATGTTTTTCTTTTACCTGCTTTACAAAAACAACTTGGGTCTGCTCCAAGTTTGTGGCACTTGTATCTTACAAGTTCAGACCATAAACCACTCCTTGGGTCTTGCATATATAACACTGCTAGGAAAAATGTCATCAAAAATCACTGACTTCCACACCTCATATAAGGATAATCTTTAGTTTCAAGCTTTTATATTTACTAGAGACAGTCTAGATGTCTGAGTATGTATGTCAGTCATGCCACACAAAGAAAAGCATAAATATTTCCAGAGTTCTTGGTTCAAAAACCATGTTCACAAATGCTGCTCCTTCCTCCGCTCTTCAGACGGTTTTGTAATAGGCTGACTCCTATATGTTTATGTAAAAATCTGACAGGTGGCTCATGCAAGCATTTTGAATTAATAGATACCCTTGGCGTGAAGAGTTACGTCAGAATTATTTTGTTGATCGTCTTGTAGGTTCTGAGGCTGTTGGAGGTGGAGGTGGACCTCGTCGATCCAGGTCATCAACATATGCCACAATGAGTTTGCGCCTCTCCTCTGGCACACAGTCAAGTACCAAATATCTCTTGTCATTCTGCAAAATCTTTTCTACATCTTTCAAGTGCTGATCAGACTCCTGGATTAATTTTTTGGATCTGAAATAAGAGAAAAAAGCCCAAGAATTACTGACTGCTGCCCACAGGCCTTTCAGAAATGAGCTGGCGATGTCAGTCTAGTTCCTAATTGTGTTTTCATATTTAAAAAAAAAGAAAAATTTCACTGCAGTGGTCACCTTTGTAGGTCGTCTCAGCAAAGACTTCAAGGAGTGAAAGGGCCTCAGAAGCTGAATTACCCTCCCACCCCTAGTGGTGGTCCCTCCAGATCAGGGCTGAGGGTGGGTGGGTAAATCTTGCCCGTGCTGTACCTGTTCTGTGGATGAACAGAGGACTTCAGTCTGCGGGGCTGCCAATCCCAGCATCTTTCACAAGCTTTCACTTTCACATCTTTCACTAAATTAACTATAAAAATGTAGAAAGAAGTCTTACTTCACATCTAATTTAAAAGCCCAAGCTGATGCAAAACATTAAGGACCCTGACCAAAAAGTCCAAAAGCCATATCAAATGACAAAATACCTAAAAACCACACCCTCAGCACTACCTATCCTCCCATGCATGTACCCTTAAATCACGTTCCAAATAATTTTTTTGAAGGAAGCCAGGTAGAAGCATACGTACAACAATGCTTCTCTGCATACTGATTTCTAAATCAATGGAAAATGTATATTTTACTGATAACAATTACTGGGGAGGGGGAAAGAACTGAGCACGCTGCAGAATAATCCAATTTAAGACAATGATTTTACATTTTATGTATTCATTTTAATAAACTCAGAAAATTGTTTTCTCTAAGAAAAATGTTCTGTTGAGTCTAAACTGATGACTTCATAGTTTTAGAATGTTTCAGCTATGTTAATAATTAAGGGAGAAAAAAATTACTTCATAAAGAATGTGGGGGAAAAAAATCTCTTCATGGGATGTGGTTTTCATAATGTAGTTGAATGTAACAGATAAACTGTTAGGTAAAAATAAAGATCACTTTTTAAAGACACTGGCTGGGTGGGAGGGGGTGGGGCTAGACAAAATGAGAATGAGTATCTGGGCCCTTTCTTCCAAAAAAGAAAAAAAAAATTATGCCCACAGTTATTGGATCCAGTTTTGAGCATCTGGCCTCTTACTCCTAAAACTTAACATGTCAACATGTGTGTGAATGAAAAGTTTGATTTGGCCTGTTCAGTAAGGACTAGTAAAGACAAAATGGTCATTGATATAAAACAATTTGTTGCACACACCTGTATGTTATAAATTTGGTCTCTTTCAAAAGTGTCCTGAAGTCAGCTTTGGCAGTAATATATTTGTCTCTGATGTACTCTTCAAATTCCCTTTGCTTTTTCTGCAGGAAGATAATTAGTTAACATTAAAATACCTGGTAAATGATTCAAAAGTTTATGAATTCCATCATTTAAATCAATCACTTTACACAACAAACTGATTTAATCAAAGTAAAGTAAATTACATCTAAATAAAATCTAGTAGTCAAAATTCTACACATTTAAAATTCTCATACATTAAAATTCTGCATAGTGGAAAGAAGCAACAATATTAAATAAATACCATGTAATAATTAGAGCAACACAACAAATATTAATAAAATATTACCATGACACATAATAACACAAATATGCATACAATAAGCAGCTAATATTTGCTGAACCCCGTACTGGGCATAATATGCACTGTTCAGGGATACTATACGTTCAAACCACAATCTATAGTAGTACAAATAGCTTACATCCACAGAGGCTCAATCCAAGAACTGAAGATTTTTATTCAAAAAATTTCCACTGTATATTTTATCATTAGATGAAGCTACATACAGATTATGGATTAAAATTAAGATAAACACTTCACTAGCAAGCACCATCATCAACATGCTTGGCAATAATACTGTGTAATAAGGCAGCCTAAACTATAGACTCAAATCATTGGCAAGTAGTACTGCTGTTCAATTATTATTTATAATTGTCAGCAATTACTTACAAAACACTTAACAAATATCAACAAAAATAAATTTTAAAACTCACTCTGTCACTGGAGGAGAACTTAATGCACCGTGGATCTTCCTTGATAATTTTTTTAACTTCTTTCCAAGTGGATGTGAGTGTAATCTTTCAAAAAGACAAATAAATAAAAATATAAATGCGGCTTACTCTTATGGGGAGCTCAAACTGCAGCACATATGGTACATAATATTACACACTGACCTGAGATCTCTTGTAATGCCCAAGCGTAACAGGACTAGTTAGGGACAGTGAGGCAGCTTTAATGCAATTTCTTTTTGTTGGCTTGCCACAAGAGTTATTTTCATGGCCATATTTTCAAGGTGGCCTAAGACATTTCACCTGCAAACCCTGCATTTACACGGGCAAACATCATAACTTTTGAAGATACCATTCACCAAAAAGAGAACAGTTACTTAGGAGCAAGACCTGGATAACAACGTGCACAAACTGCAGGAAAACGGGCCATGATATTGAATCAAAAAATAGAGAAGGGAAGGACATCTAAGTCCAAGAGAGGTGATCAATGATCACAGAAAAGGATATTTTGGTTAACTATGCGAACAATCATAACACAGAAAGTTGAAAAGAAGCTAAACATAATCTCTGAAAGGGGCAGTTGAGTAAAAATTACTGCAAGACTTTTCTAAAAAGGGGAAATGAAAAAGGAGAAGTGAAATAAAAGAATTTAAGGAAGTAGCAATAAAAATTTAAAGACCGTAACTGTCAAAATTTGTATTTCCTTTTTTCAAATTATTTAGCTATTCCTATCTAGAACAAAACATAACAAATAGATAAGAATCCATTTCTTACCGCTGAAGTCTCATCCAGAAGTTGTCTAAAGTGTTCCCTCTTCTTTTTGGTAAGTGCTTCAATGTGTTCATTGAAAAGCTTCTCTTTCTCTTCTCTTTCTAGCAAAGAGCCAGATTCCCATCGATGATCTTTTCGGAGAGTTCTCCGAGTATCAGACCATGACACATCTGAAGAACGAACCTTTAAGGAGAAAAAAAAAAGAGGAATTTCATATTTCACCAAAACAGACACCTTTTCATATTTCATTCAAATGAATGTCAAGTTGATTAGCCTAAAGAAAATGGGAAACTTCAAATGCAATATTTAAACACCAAGGTCATTCAGAAAATAAGATTAAGACAACACATCCTATGAAGAGGAGACATCCTTACTGATGATCAACAGAATACTTAAATTACTTCATGATTTTAACTACTTCTATGGCAGACTCCAATCTCCTTAGTACATGAAATCGCGAGGAGTCAAAAATAATTTATCTCCTGGTAGCCAAATTTCTCACCATGGCTTTCTCCTACCTGCATTTTTATAAACTGTAAAACTCAAAGTATCTAAAAACACATTCCTTCTTTTCCACCCCAAACCTATCTCATATTCAAACTTCCCCATTTTCTCTTTACACCATCATCATCCTTCTCATCACAAGGGTTCACAACCTTAGAGTCATCTGTGACTTTTACCTCTCTCAATCTCTATTTCTAATCAGTTGCCAAGTTTTGTCAATCCTACTTCCATAGCATCTTTCACACCTATCTCCTTTCACTCTTCCTTCATACCATCTACACTGTAGTTCAAATTCTCATCAACTCTTGTTAGACTACTAATTGTCTCCCCTGACTCCAGTCTCTTTTCTCTCAAATCCATTCTCTATACAGGTCCCAAAATGATATTCTTAACACATCCAACCACATCACTCTACTATTCAAAAATCTTCAATGGCTCTCCA